GATGTACTCACTGACAGGTTACAGGACCGGGGATTGGGTGACGGCTATCCCCATTGCGGCAAACAGGAGGATAGGGCCCACCCACTTCTCTAGCGCCGTGCGCTTCCGGGTGGCCCTCCCTTTCTCCACACCGAAAAACTGCGACTGCGCAGACCATATTGCCATCACGGACCCCCGCCTCCCTAACCACCTACTCCGCTGCGGACCGGGCAAGCACCGCATCAACACCCATAATGAACTCCAAGGGCGTGAAAAATGCCCGTCAGGGAGCGCCACAGCTCCCGTACCACTAGCGTGCTTGCGCTGATCGCCACGGCTCCAGATCCTCCGCGCAAGTGCCGCCTCAAGCCCCGGACGGCTTCGTCAAGCTGTCCCGCAGCAGCAGCGCCACCCTCCGCAGGCGCAGCTAGCACGGGCGCCAGCAGCACCGCGAGCTGGTCCGCCGCGTCCAGGCAAGAGTCACGCTGGCGGCCACGGAAGGTCTCAGGAGGGACCACAGGGAGAGATGAGTGGGCCAGCACCTGAATCAGCAGCAGAGCATGGAGACTGTCAGCGAGGCGGTGTAGCTGTCCGAGAGTTGCCTCGGGAACACGGGTCTGCGGAGGCTGGAGTGCCTCCGCCAGGAACTTGAGCGGCTCATCGGCATCAGCTGGGAGAGCAAACGGAGCCGCCAACGAGCCGCCACCCGCGGCCACAAACTCCACTCCCGCAACGAGCGGAACCGGCGGCAGATGGAGACGAGAACCGGGAGCAGGTGCCGATACAGTGGGAGGAGCTGGTGGCGCTTGGATCTGAGGGGGAGGCACAGCAATAGGCTGCGGGTTCGGGGGGAGCGCAGCCGGACGGGGAGACTCGTGGGCTGGTAAGGCGCACAGCGAACTGCTCTGGCTCTGCACCGCCCTCTCCTCCCGAACCGCCCTCGATACTTCCCGCTGAAGATCCGCCATCGTCACAGGCGGGCGATACCCCCCACCCCCGCCACGAGCACGGGGACCCCTCCAATCCCCCTGACCCCCGGGGTGAGCAGGCCAGTGCGACTGTTGCTGGTACCGCCGTGGAGACTCATGCCGGCGACGAGAGGACTTGCGGTCCTGATGGGGAGCGGGGGAATGGGGGTGCGACGAGCAACGGTCAGGCGACGGAGGGCGTGACGGCTGGCCTGCAGGAGCCACCGCCGTCACAGCAGGGGCGGAGTGGCCCGCCGCCGCAGGCGCAACCGACGGAGCCGGCTCGCCAGTGGTGGCGGACGCCGCCTTTGGTAACGAAGCAGAGGCCTACGCAGGCAGGCAGGGGACAGAAGCGGTCGGCGCAACTGGGGCGCCAGGGACAGGTGCAGGGGGTTCAGCAACACCCCCAGCAGGGGCAGACGCTGGCGGCTCGACAAGGGGAGCCAGGGGGCCAGGTGTCGCAGGCGGAGCAGACGGAACAGCAGCGGGAGCGAACGGGCCTGCCTCTGACCCGACAAGGGGATCCGCGGGTGCGTGGGGAGGAGTCTTTTCAAAGACTGCTGTCACGGATTTCGGAGCCGGCAGTAGAGGGGGCTTCGTCGCCATGGTCGCCCTTTTGGGCTCCGCCGGAGGCTTGGCGACCGCAGCCGACTAGACGGCAACGAGCTCTGGCGACGGCTCAGGTGCTCCGGCAATCACCATCCCTAGAGCAAGGAAGCCACGTGGCGAGGAGAGAAACCGTAAGCGGAACAGGCGGAGGGCCAGAGAATGGGTATCAGGCGGCGGCGAGAATGGCTTTAAACAATGTGGACGAAACTATTAGTAATGCTGAAGACGAGCGGGACGACCCATCTTATAGGGAAGAAGCCCTTCTCGAGAGCGAGGAGGAGGAGATGGAGGAGGAAGGCATGGCGAGAGAAGGACCAAGGAGAAGGGAAGACGTGGTGCAGCAGGCGGAATTGCAAGTACCACCGATGACTCAGCCACCATCCGATGCTGATTGGACAGGTGCAAATCCAACCTCAGGCCCACCAATGAGATCGAGCCGTGCTGGGAGAAATCGAACCGCCATTGCCGGTGCTGCGGCGCGCCCACCAGCATCAATTCCCCGCTACTTTTCACCAGACGAGCTAGCGAAGCGGACAGACCTGTTTGCAGCCATCGCGAACTGGGACATTCCAGCACTTTGCAACAGTCGTCAGCCTCCACTGTCGCGGCGTTTACCGCCAAACCTGTGTCAGCTTTTTTCGCTCGCGCTACTGACACCGTTACACCACCTATCACGAAACCCTGATTCAGAAATGGGATGGCGCCTGCTGCTGTTTCTCCCGCGCCTGACGCTTCGCCAGACCTTGCCACAATGCCCGAACTGGCCAAGTGTCAAGAGCCGGCTCCGAGCTTTCCAGCGTGGCGAATGGGATCAGCTGTACCAAGACGCGTTGAACGCAGTCAACACACCGCCCCCGCCAAGACATCAGCCAGATGCGACAGGTGTCATTAGCCGTGCAGAGAGCCTGGCGAAACGTGGCAGTCTGCGCCGAGCCGTGCTGGCCCTCGAGTCAACGCCCGTCTGCACACCCAGCCCGGAAATATTGGAGGAGCTGCGCAAAAAGCACCCACCCGTTGGAGACGAGGCAGTGATGTGGCCAAAGACACAAGGGTCAAAACTGTCAATCCCCCACCCTGACTTCGCTAAAATGTTGGGGAGATGCGAGAATGGGGTCGGGGCCAGACCATCAGTGATGACATTCGAACACCTGTGTGACGCGGCGATCACCAACGGAATGGTCAGCACCCATCTGCACGCCTTGGTCAACACTATGCTGGGAGGACAATTGCCAGGTTCGGTAGCAAACCTGCTGACGGCGTCGCGTCTCATCGCCCTTGCCAAGCCGGGGGGGGGGGGGGGGGCTAGACCAATCGCCATCGGCAAGTGCCTAACGAGGCTGGCAGCCAAGGCTGCCCTGTTAATCATGGGAGAACCGGTCCGCGAATTTTTCCTACCGCTACAGTACGGGGTGGCAGTACCAGGTGGAGCAGAGGCAGTAATCCACGCAGCCAGGGCTTTTTCGGATGCCCGCCCGGACAGCCTGGTACTGCAAGCCGACATTTCAAACGCGTTCAACAGCATTTCGCGAACCGCCATCGCCGACGCGTTACACGAGCCCACCCTCTCGCCGCTGCTGCCGCTCGTGAAACTGACATACGGTAACCCGTCGCAGCTGCTACTGGACTCCAACTTCAACAGCGCACCACTAGCAAGTGAACGCGGCGTGCGCCAAGGAGACCCACTTGGGCCGTTGCTATTTGCAGTAGGGATACACGCCACACTTCGAGAAACTGCCGAATCACATCCTGACGTGCTGTGCTTGGCATATGCGGACGATGTCACCTTCCTGGGTGACACAGCCCGCACTGTAGCTGCATTCACATACTTCACAGCAAAGTTGGCGCACCTGGGCCTCGCACATAACCGACAGAAATGTAGCGCCTGGAGCTCAAGCGCAATCGACACAGCTTGCCTTCCGCCAGGAGTGCCGTTCTCTAAAGACGGTGTGAAGCTACTGGGTAGCTTCGTGGGGCCGAAAAGCGGCGCAGCCCAGTTACTGGCAGGTCAACTTGCTGAGATGTCAAAACCCCTACCCCTGCTCGAGCGAACAGACCCCCAGGTAGCAGCCCTTCTAATTACGCGATGCATCTCGCGACGAGTTGCATACCTCATTAGGATGACACCATCCACCTCCTCCCCCGTGATACATGGAGCCAATGGGGCCGGGATCTGCTCACCACGCTCCTCACGTCGTGTGATATTCGCGTTCTGACGTGTCAAACAGAACAATCGCGGGTTTGGGAGCAAGCGTCGCTGCCGCCATCCTTGGGAGGACTGGGCATCACAGACCCCCTAGTCGAGGGGATCTACGGTTTCGTAGCCAGCTTCACGCAGGCGGCGTTGTATCTCGGCTGTCTACTGCTGGAAGAAGATAACGCTCTCACCCTAGCACGGAACCATATGCTACTGCCGCGGGTTGACAGCATACCGCTACACACATGGCTGACCGAGTGTGAAGAGGCACTGCCCTTTGATGCGCGGGAGGTACTGGAGAAGGAGAGGCTTGAGCGTTCGGACATCCGGCTCCAACACGTGCTAGGACTCAAAGTCCACGGAAGCAAATACGCAAAGCAGGTGCAGGCGACAAGGCGCATGAAGCCGAATCCGCTCGCTGGTCACACGCAGCGGATGTTCCCTATGACAGGCTATGCCACAGGCGACTGGCTCACCGCGATCCCCATCGCTCCCGCAAGACGGATAGGGCCAGTGCACTTCGCCAACGCGGTACGCTTCCGCCTCGGCCTACCGTTTTCCACACCCAAGAACTGTGATTGACGAGATCAGCACGGGGCTGGACTCGTCCGCCACCTTCCTTATCACGCGCTGCCTGCGCCATCTCACGCACCTCCACTCTGCCACCACGCTCGTCGCCCTCCTGCAGCCCGCCCCCGAGACCTACGAGCTCTTCAACGACGTGTTGCTGTTCTCCGAGGGCCACGTTGTGTTTCACGGGCCCAGGGAACACGTGGTGCCGTTTTTCAACCAGCTGAGCTTTGAGTGCCCAGAGAGGAAAGGCGAGGCGGATTTCCTGCAATAGGTGACGTCGATGAAGGACCAGGGGCAGTACTGGAAGGGGGGGCGGGCAGCTAGCCGTATCACTAGGTGCCGGCGCAGGCGTTTGAGGCAGCGTTCAAAGAGACGCAGATCGGCAAGGCCACTTCTGCCCACCTCTCGGTACGTACCACTGGTGCCCACCTCTCGGTACGTACCATGTTTTTTGTCGTCAGGCTCTGGTCCCTTCGTCCCGCACTTTTGCTTTTGCTTCACAATGTTCCCAAACCTCCTGCCCTCCTAACCACTCCTCCCCTTTTTCAAACCCCACCTCACATTCCCAAACTTGTAAACCCCATCCTCACCCCAACCCCCACCAAGTGCCCTACCCCAAGGAGAAAAGCCCTCCCGACACCCTTGCCCACAAGCGCAACGCCCTCCCAACATCTGAAATGTTTTGTGCAGTCTTCGAGCGCGAGTTTCTCCTCATGAAGCGCAAGACGTTCCTCTACGTCGCTCAGACCATCCAAATCATCCGCATCGCACTCGTCACCATGACCATCTTCTTCCGCACCATGCTTGACATCTCCCTGCAAGACGGCAACTACTACCTCTGCGCCATGTTCTTCGAGCTCATCATGATGCTCTTCAACGGCTTCACCGAGCTCACGTTGCTTGTCCTGCGCCTGCCGATCTTCTACCGCCAGAGAGACACGTTTGTGTACCCCTCGTGGGCGTGGGAGGTCCCTATGGAGCTGCTCTCGCTGCCTTCTCCGCCTGGGCGTCCATCATCTGGACTGCCGTCACCTACTATGTCATTGGCTTTGCACCCGAACCGGGCAGGTGAGCGGATGGAAGGGAAGGTGAGCGGATGGAAGGGCAAGTGAGCGTAGGGCAAGTGAGCGGATAAAAGGGCAGGTGAGCGGATGGAAGGGCAGGTGAGTGGATGAAAGGGCAGGTGAGCGGATAATAGGGCAGGTGAGCGGATAAAAGGGCAGGTAGACAAACTCACCGCTTGACTGCCACATTTTTACACTTCTTTTTTTTCGCTCGTGCGACATCCCTCTTTCATTTTCTCTGCTCTCTTTTCTCTCCCATCTCCCTTGTTCACATCACAGGTTCTTCATGCACATGCAGACGTGCCTCATACAACGTCCCACTCTCCTTATTTTCCTCCCATCCCCTCATCCTCCCCCTGCGGAGATAACTACTATAACATGAGCTAGACTACGGGCTAGGCACGGGGCAAGAGTGATCGTAGCGTTCGTTTAGTTAGTCATTTCCAAGTGCTCACACTACTTGCTAGTTCACGGGGAGAATTCGCAAGATTTTCACTAGGAAAAGTTGACGAGAATGATACAACCAGGTTGGCAAGACAAGAATACATCAGAGCTAGGAAGGAAGCAGGTCGACTGCCAGCACAGCACAGTCGACCGCGCTCCAGCATTACTTGGTCGACCGCACTCCAGCAGTGCAAAGTCGACGGCGTGCCAACGCTGCAGGTCGACGGCGTCCAGCATTACTCCTGCATGACAGCAGTGCACCTACTTCGCAGGTGCTCGCAGGTGATTGGCATGCCGTGCCTTGTCATATGCACAACGCACACTCCAAATCAACCTCGTGCTGACGAATGCATCTGATCAGCCACGTCGACCTCGGGATAACGCCACCGAGGTCGGCCTCGCCATGAACATCTGGGCGTCTGTCGCGTGCCTGCGCAGAACCTCGTCACTCAGGTAACCAGGTCGACCGGGCAACCACGTCGACCAGATGCTCCTTCACGTGCCCGTCAACCACCCAAGTCGACGACCACTTCCAGTCGACCTCACCAGGTCAACCACACCCTTGGTCGACCAGCTCCAGGTTGACCAGCACATCTGTCAGCCGACCACACCGAGTCGGCTACCCCAGGTCAGCATCACCAATTTAACGCCCCTTCTAAGTCGGCGCCGACTTCCAGGCCGACCTCTTGAAGTCGGCGACCTCCCAAGTCGGCAACCTCGCAAGTCGGCGACCTCGCAAGTCGGCGCGGACTTCCAGGTTGACGCGCCACATCGCCGACCACCAGTTGAAGTCGGCCACCAACTTCCCAAGTCGGCGGCATTGCAGTGGCCCCGTGCAAGTCGACCAAACCCGTCTACCAGCTCGCCCAAGTCGGCGTCGCCCACTGCTGCAAGTCGGCTGCACCTCCCGTACACCCAACCACGAAGTCGGCTCCGCCCAAGCGAGGACAGGGCCAACAATAACTCCCGTTGACACCCCCCACCATAGGTTCTTCATGAAGATGCTGCTCGTCTCCCTCACCCACCAGGTCGCCATATCGCTCTGCACACTCATACAATGCAACCTATTCATCTCCTTTCCCTCTTCCCCATCCCCCACTTCCGTGTTCCTCTTGCCCTCTTCCCCCCCTTACAGGTTCTTCATGCAGATGTTTCTATTCTTCCTCATCCATCAGGTCGCCATGTCCCTCTTTCGTCTCATAGGAGCGCTGGGGCGCAGCATGGTGGTGGCCAACACCTTCGGCTCCTTTGCTCTCATCCTCCTCTTTCTCCTTGGTGGCTTCGTCCTCGCTAAGGGTGAGTGGTGCGCTCGCTTCTATAACGAGTACGTAGGTTGGGTGTAGAAATAGCGCTGGGTCGCAGCACGGTTGTCTGCAACTCCTTAAGCTCCTTTGCCTTCATCCTCCTCTTCCTGCTCGCTAGTTTCATCCTCACTCAAGGCGAGTGAGCTTATAACAAGTAGGGAAGTGGCTTTGTTACAATGTGTATGTGCGACCAATACCACATGTTTTGAAACCTCATAACGTCCTCTTATCTCCCTCAAATCACCTCCCCTCTCCTCTCATATTCTCTCTCCCCCTCACATGCGATTCTCCACTCTTTCAACATCCTTGGCTTGGCACCCTACCCTACCCCCACCGCCATTCTCCCTTGTCTGCTGCCCGCACATGCAGGCAACATTCACAATGTGTGGATATGGGCGTATTGGATCTCGCCCCTCATGTACGGCCAGAACGCCCTCGCTGTCAACGAGTTCCTCGCCCCCCACTGGAATGTGGTGCGTGTCTCTCTGCTCTCTACTCTTACATCAGATTGTTGGAACAGTCGTGCCAACAGTTGCCTGATAGGATTCATGCGCGCAAGTGTTGCCATGGCATGCAGTCGTGCATAACCCCTCTTCCTCTCTGTATATTCCTATGCAGTCGGCAGGTCCACTCTTCCCCCCAACGGCCACCATGGGCCAGGTGCTGTGAGAGAGCCGCTCGCTGCCGCTGAACAAATATTGGCGCGGCATTGTCGCGGCGGTGCTCATCGGATTTATCATCCTCTTCAACCTCCTCACCATTCTCGCGCTCGCCTATCTCGATCGTAAGCTCTCAACACTCACTCTTCCCTTCTCCTCCACATCCTCACCAATGTCGCACTCGCCTACTTCGACCATAATCTTTCCATTCAACCCCTTGTTTTACGATATCGGCCTTCATCTTCCTCTTCAACCCCCTCACCATTCTCGCCCTTGCCTACCTTGATCGTAAGCTCTCTCGGCACCCACCCTCCTCGCCCCTTGTTTTGTTAGAGACTGGGGACGAGGTCTACGAAGATTAGGAGCCGAAATATCTCAAAATCGTTGGGCCTAGTTTCTGGACAGAAATGTCGACTTCACAAGAATCGCCGTCGATGAAAATTGCACTTAACCAATTTCAGATATGTTGTAGCCCTAAACCTTAGCTACATTTACCAAGTTGAATCGTGTTAAGAGGTGAAGCATGTCTCGAGTTATCGATTTCGGGTTTAGTGGGCGTATGCTGTCATAAGAACTTAACTCAATCACAAAGTTCTCACAATTTCACACGAGTTAGAGTAGCAAAGAACCAGGTTGGAGAGAAGAGGAGGACGAGAGGGAAGGTCCCAAGAGATTCCCCAACCATGGAAACCCCATACCACACAATTTCCCTCCCTATAGGCACCCCAACTTTTACTTTTGTCACTTTCCCAACCTCGACAATCCACCTCAACCAACTTGGCCACACTTGCCAACCCAATTTGGTTTCTCCCAACCATTTTGCAGCAACTACAGTAGAAAAGACGAATTTCCCAACCCCCAAAAGTCTGTACCCCAACATATGTTCGTGCGTCACTTCAGAACTTCCCAAAGTCGTTGCATCTCAATCAAGGCTTCGAATGATTATAACTTCGTCGTTCTTGCTCCGATCGCAACAATTCTTGGTTTGTCGGAAAGCTCTTGAGCAGAGGAGTCACTTCAGATATATTCTTAAGCCAACACACACTTAGAAAACCCAAAACACACCGAACACAAATTCTTGCACACGCTCAGACCACGCATGGAACGCACGAACATATGTTGGGAGGCAGGCAAACGTGAATGCAAATAATAGCATCACATAACAAACTCCCCCTCTGGCTGCCAACCATCATCCCACATGCCTCAACTCAAGCATGCACCCTCAATGCATACTCATTCCAGCAAGCTTCATCTCTTTCCAATGCTCAGGTTCAGCCAGACGCTTGGTGAGAATGTCAGCCGCCTGCTGATGGGTCTTCACAATCTCCAGCCGCACCTCCTTGTCCAGGAGCCTCCTCACCCAATGCCACTTTGGCCTGATGTGCTTTGTCAGGCGATGAAGACAGGCATTCTTTGCAAGCTTCAGAGCTGATTCATTGTCACAGAAAATCACAGTCGGCTCCTTCTGGCACACTCCGATCTCCTCCGACAAACGCCTCAGCCACACCACCTCTTTTGCCCCATGATGCAGGGCCATGTACCTCTGTCTCACATGAAGACAGCCCCACCTCATTCTGCTTCTTGCTGCGCCAGCTCGCTGCACCACCTCCAAACAGGCACACATAGCCTCCAATGCTAGTGCCATCCGCTTTCACTGAGTTGAAGCTAGTGTCGGTGTAGCAAATCAAGAGCATCTCCCCCTTGCTCAAGTCAGCCGCACCCCTTTGCAGCCTCCGTCGCACAGCACTGTACTCCAAGCCCACTGATGCTGTAGCGCTCACATAGCGGACCAACCTCTTGGCCGCTTCCAGCTGCTCATGACTAGGGCGTGAAAGCACACTAGCAAGCCTGGATGTAGCAAAGGCAATGTCAGGCCGCGTGTGGTTAGCCGCATAATTGAGTGCCCCCACCATGGAATGAAACAACTTCCTGTCACTCTCACCCACCACCTCTTCATCAGCACAGCGCTCCATAGTGAAACCCGAAGGTAGTGGGGTGGCTAGCTTTCCTCCATCTTGCAGCCCATACTTCTCAGCCAGCCCCTCACAGTACTTCCTTTGGTGCAACCTCAACACTCCCTTGTCAAGGTCTCACTCCACATGCATCCCAAGGTAATACTTCACATCTCCCATCTTCGAGCACTTGAACTGCATCTCCACCATCTCTTCTACACGCTCAATCATAGAAGACGACTCGGAGAAGAGAAGGATGTCGTCCACGTATACCAGGAGCATGAGGAACTATTCCTTCTCTTGCAGCAGGAAATGGCTATGATCACACTCGCTCTTCTTGAATCCCCCAGCCAGCAGTGTCTCCTCCAGCTTGTGGTACCATGCACGAGGAGCCTCCTTCAGGCCATAAATGGCCTTCTTCAGCATGTACACCCTGGCGCTCCCATCATACAACCCCTCAGGCTGCTGCATGTACAGCTCCTCTAGAAGGATCCCATTGAGGAAGGCAGTCGTGACGTCCAACTACTTGATCCTCCATCCGCGGTTTGCAGCCGTTCCCAACATCACCCTCTTGTCCCCTTCCCCACAGGAGCAAAAATCTTTTCAAAGTTCTTCCCCTTTGTCTGCTGGAACCCCTCAGTCAGAAGCCTTGACTTGTAGCGGGTCAGCTCCCCATCGGGTCCATACTTGTGCCTGAATATCAGCTTGGAAGAAATGGCCTTCTTCCCAGGAGGCAGCTCACACTGCTCACATGTCTCATTCTCCAAGAGAGTCGTACTCCTCCTTCACACTCTGCTTCCATTTTTCAGCATCGAGCCCACTCAATGCCTCAACTAGCGTTTTGGGCTTAGGGACGGCTGCCCAGTAGCAGTGCGCAATGTCATCCTCATCACACTGCTCAGCCACGCTCCTATCATGCTCCACATTCCGTGAGCCACAGCGATTATAGCTCAGCCTGTCAGGTGGGCGCACATCCCTCCTAGGACGGTCAGGCGGACGTTGGGCACGTGAAGGAGCATCTTGTTGCTGCTGCTGCTGCTGATTCTGCTTCTGCTGGTGCTGCTCCTCCACCTCAGGTTCTCCCCCATCCTCAGTCACCCCAGAGATCTCCTCCTCTGAGACAGTGACCTGCACTTGCCTCGAAGACCGCTTCACCTCATCGGCCTCAATGATCAGCGGTGTAGTTGGAAGCTTCACATCCCTTTACACAGTCAGCTGTTGGCTGGTCAAGTCCCATATCAACGAGCCCTTGTGATCCTCAGGAAGCCCCAAGTGCACACCCCATCTCCCAAAAGCTTCCAAATTTCCCCTCTTCTCCTTAGGCACATGAAACACCACCATGCAGCCATAGGCTCTTAGCATGTTGTCTGCTGGTGCACTCCCATACCACCTCATCGGATCCAGCAGCCCTACACACCCAAGGAGAGTGCGAGCATCTTCCTGCAGGATCCGGTTGAACTGCTCAGCTACACCGTTTTGCTGAGGGTTGTAGGGCACTGTGAGCTGATGCTGGATCCCCTTCTTCTTCAGCACCGCCTCAACAACAGCACCAATAAACTCTCTCCCGTTGTCGGTGCGGATCACCTTCACCTTGTGTCCACTCTCCCTTTGTGCTCTCGGCATCCACTCTTTAAGAACAGCCGCTGCCACCTCCCCCTTAGTCTTCAGAGGGTATACCCATACCGCACGCGTGTGGTCGTCCACAATGGTCAAGAAGTAGCGGCTGCCAGAGAAAGAAGGGGCCCTTGTAGGGCCCACCACATCCATGTGTACTAGCGCAAGTGGAGCCTTAGCTGGTCCCGTGCTGCTGCTGAAGGGGAACTTGGTGAATTCAGTCTCAAGGCATGTAGGGCAGCTCCCAATCTCCTTCGCTGCCCCCTTCACCTCCAACCCCTTCAAGCTCTCATCCTTCACTAGCTTCTGCGGCATAGGAAAATTCACATGACACAGCCTTTCATGCCATGTCTCCCAATCGGCCTCACCACTCCCAGATGAGGCCTTTGCCCATGCAGCGGTTGCGTCCACACCAGCAAGCACCTCACCATGTGGCTGCTATGGTCGCTGCACCTTCTTGACTGCATCCAGGACCCCATTAGTTGGTGTAGTCTCCTCTCCTCCCGAAGTTACTTTAGCAATTGCTGCTGCTGCTGCTTCCGTTGCTGGTGGTTTCCCATTCCAAGGAATGATGAGTAGCTGCCAGAGGTCCTTGATGCAGCTGCTCTTTTCCTCCAAATCCCACAGCAGCAACTTCCCAAGTTTTGCATGGCAGCTTGTTGGGCCAAACGTAACTTTGGCCTTGCTTTTCTACAGCCGGCACAGAGAGGAGGTTAGCGGACAAACCTTCGACCAGCAACACATTCCCCAGCCCCACAAGCTCCCCTTTGGCCCCCATCACCTTGGCATTCCCAATCACAGGGAGTAGAGCACTTGAAGCGGCAGCCACAAAATTGATCTTCCCAGGGGGTTTTACCTCATCAAGCAAATGTGTCCGTGGGGTCATGTGACTTGTGCAACCTGAATCGATCACCCAGTGAGTGGGGGGGTGCATCAATACCTTCCCAACCGAGCCCACATCACCCTCACTCCCTTTCACATCCTCAACCACGAGGAACATCCCAGGGTCGGCATTACCTTGTGCACTATCACCTTGTGCACCTTGACCTTGCTCAGCACCACCTCATGCACGTTCACCACTTGGTGGCTTCATGCCTAGGGGCGCCTGTTATAGTCACAGTAGGCTCCAATGTGTCTAAAACGTAAGATAGAGTGCACAGTCGGATTTCTGCACAGCGGCTTTAAACGTTCATAGCGATCTGCTCACAACTCCAAATGACTTCATTCAACTTCGACCTAGAGCGCTTTAATGTTGCCCACAATAAGCAATTTAGATCGCACGATTTCACCAAGTATCGACGACACAGCATTGGTTTGAACGAACGGCACTATGGCAGCAACATAGTCTTAGAACACACAATAGGAAGAGTTAGCAAGAGTTACGAGTTGGGAATGACTCCCAGCTCCTACAAACCCCAAGAGCCGAGGTACAGTGATGTGGAACAGTGTCACACTGTCCCCAACCACGAAGGGTCTCGAAACTACCCTTCACTATGGTCTACACCAAGTGAAATGTTACACTACACAATTTCTTGAGGTGTACCTTTTTGGCGAGCTTCGCGA